CGTGCACACCCGCTGCCCCCATGGATACTGCCCACGTCATGATATCCACACATGGTAACAGCAGAGAGTAAGATCCATCATCAACACACACAGAAAGCAGAGGAGCCTGTGTGTCTCTGCGCCTGGGTATAGTTCACTGACATTCATGCGTTTCAACGGACACCGACACCTTGTTTACTGGGAGCAATCAGTGTGATAAGCAGCAATATAATCCATTATTGTTTACATGGTTTGTAGTGCAGGGACTTTTCTCTTTGTATAGGTTAGTAAGGGTTCATTTAAAGCTGTGCTGACTATTTTTTTTCATTGAATAAATGTGTGCCTTAAAAGGCAGTGGAACAAGTTAAAAACCATTTTGATAGAATTGTAATGATTATAGATAAGCAAGCACTTAAAACAACGACATAAGCATTCATTTGGACTAATATTTGTGTCCACCTGATTTATTAAAGTCATGTTTTGACTTACCGTTTTAACCCACTTCGGTCTCCACAAACTCCTGAGAAAAATATATGGATCTAGCTGGCTCCACCATCTAGATCCTAACACATTTTGATTGTCTGTCTGTTGTTTAATACATAGGGCTTATCAAAAAACAATTTCAATGCTTGCTACCGCTAGAGATATGTTGAAGGGACAGGCGTTTAAATGTAATATTAGAATATCTACCGTTAACTCTCCCATAAAGTGATTTTTTTTTAAAGAACAAAACGTTTATTTAAATATACTAAATAGATTATAATCCTTTAAAAGTTGATGTTGTTTATGATTCAGATATTTGATACTCAAACTGTCAAAGTAATGCATATCACAGTATTTATTTATTGTTGTTTATTCTGATTTTCTCTACTTTTTTTTGCATCTGCTGCTCTTTTCAGTGTTATTATTGCATTACATTGCATTATCTTGTTATGTTTGGCCTGTTGGTGAGTGTTTCCCCCTTAATAGTGCTCTGATTGCACCAGAGCCCAGCATCACAGCAGCTTCAGGGCAGCTGCAGATCCTCAGCTCCTAAACGTCACTGAGCCCCTTGTCTCCTAGCAACAGGGGCTGGGGCTCTCTTAAAGGGGCCAGCTATATTTTGAGGTCATGGAACATTAGAGGAAGAGTAGATCCCCCTGCATTAGCAGGTATCGATCTTCAGCAGGTGAAGAGATGGAGATAGAAGTGAACAAAAAGCAATAAATAATGGCAAGGGAGTGGCTGCACTGTGATTACAGGCAACGAGACAGACAAGCAGTGGTGTGATGTGACCATAGAAATACAAGGAGTAGAATGGATTTGCCTTGGTTATCCGACACATTTAAAGAAAAAATGGTGTTCAGCACTTTGCATTGGCCATATAAATAGAATGAGTAAGCTAGTAAACGGTCACAGCTGTTCTCAATGGTAACAGCACACATGAAACACCCGTTGTTCTGAATGCCTGTTCTTGTCTCATACCATTTCTATAGATGTGATTGAGATGAGTGCATCTGTGGAAGGATCGATGAAAAGGATGGATGGCTGTTGGATTGATAGACAGATCACAATTGGAAGGATGGGAGACAGCTGTGAACTCTATAGATTATATATGATATAAGTAATGTTTGACATTTTAATTATTCACTTTTGCTTAAGACTGATTATCTATCATATTTCATTTCAAATAAGCATTTGGGTTCTTGCCCAACTACCATTATTTACACCCTGCACTGCGGTTTTAAATGTATTTACCTCTGACCAAATTTGAAATACAACGTGCTTGTCAAGACTGTCTGTTAATAGAAAGCAACATCTGCGTGCCACATTTGGACAAACATTTGGAAACAGACATGCATTGGTATTACGGCTAAAAGACTCACAAGGAGACGGGAAATGAATAGAAATGCAACCGCACAAACATTTCCCAGTTTAGTCCCAATTGAAAAGCCTCTCTCTTTTGAGAGACACCTCTGAATTATTGGCTTCAGTGTTTCTCTGCATACAAATGTGATTGAAGTCAACACTAATACCTGTTCTGCTTCATTTTGAAAGGAATATAGCATCCTTCATAATACACTCATTCACCAAGGCATCTACAGATTTTGTATTTTTCTTGAAAAATTATTACTACTAGGAAATGATTTCTGTTTATTTAATAAATGTAAAAAATGGGTTACGTCGAAGGAGTTCAGTTTACCTCACAGCTTTACTATCACTGATCTTCTTTCCTGAAACAGTCCATAGTGTGGTTAATGTTGTTACCATGGCGGCTGAGTATTAACACAACCATTACATTGTTGTCCTCCTGTCTCTGGATCAGCTCTGGTACAGAAGTGGTGTTGGTTCTCTTTTACCATAGTGCTTTGATCTTAGATCATCACATGCCAATTCGTATTTTACTGATATATAAACCAGAATATACTAATTTAACTATTCTCGTAGTTCAATTACAACAACAACAATTAATCAGAATTTGACTCCTGTCTAAAGGACTCAATTACATACTGTATACAGTATGTAATGAAACATGTGTATATATAAAGAAAAATGTGAAAATAAATTAGAAGGAAAAAAATATATAAATTCGTTTTTGGCGTGTTTTTTGGCAAATGAATTACACTCAAAATACAAGTCTAGGGTGGTTTAGAAATTGTCTGTAACAGTAACACAAAAACATAAAAAAATTGAAAATACTTTTAACGGATGGTGAATTGGAGTGGTCCAATTGTATTAAAGTTAACTTTCTGCTTGTGTATTACCTTTCATTAAGTTGACGGCTTAAGCCTTTGGTTTTGTGCACTGTGTGTGAGCATTACTGGACCCCTGTGTTTACGCCAGGAGCAAAGAGGTAGATAAGGACTGTAATAGGCTTAAGAGTGACTTTGGTGTCCATGTGAAAGCATCTACATCACTATAACACGCATCTACCACCAACAGGAGGTGCTACCATGTGCTTTCTCTCTCTCTGTGTGCTTTCTCTTTCTCTCTGTGTGTGTGTGTGTGTGTGTGTGTGTGTGTGTGTGTGTGTGTGTGTGTGTGTGTGTGTGTGTGTGTGTGTGTGTGTGTGTGTGTGTGTGTGGTGTGTGTGTGGGTGTGGGTGTGGGTGTGGGTGTAGCTGCAGATAGTGATGGTAAGTGAAGCAGACTGTGCTGTCCCAGTGCCCTCGGACTAACTGTCTACCAGATGACGCTTGTGCTTGTCACTTGTTTTGATTTCAGCAGCAATGTAGAAGACAGTCAAAGTGAATCTCATCATAAAAGGAAACAACTGTTCTGATGTATTTGGGATTTGGCCAATGCCTTGTGGAATCATTTGAAAACAATAGAGCCTAGCAGAGCTTTTTAGGCTGGATTTAGAATGGGCGGTTTTATCTTTCTAGGTTAGAGCGAAATAGACAGCAGAAAAAGACTGAGTCTAAAGCTATGCTAGCAGCTGTGGTAGGCTGTACTGACAGAGGGCACAGCTAAATGTACCTTTAGCTAAATGCTCACATGTACATGCTAACATGCTAACATATACTGTAGCAAGCAGACAGTGTACCATTCTCACTAAAATTGCTTCAATTGTAGAGCATGCTAATTTGCTAATTAGTCCTAAACTAAAAGTGCAGCATATAGGCAAATTACAATATCATTACTCATGAATAATAATGTGGGCATAGGGACACATTTATATTTGACCTCATTCTGTCGCTAAGATTTCCTGCACAAAGTTTTTTTCCAATTGTTGATATATTAACAATCTTCTGAAAATGTGTCCTGCTGGTGGTATTAGAAGAAATCTCAAAGGATCACCAATATCACTTAAGAAGTATCCTCTAGGGACCATGAATATACATTATGTTCCAAATGTCATGCTAATCTATTCAATCGTATTCAAAATATATTCCTACTGAACCCCACATATTAATCTTGAGGTCGTGTGGGATAAAATGTAAGGGGTCACCAAAGTCAGTAGGATTAATCTTCTGTAGACCATGAATGTTAAAATGGCATATCTATTAACTATTGTTGAGATATTTGAGTCTGGATCAAAATGACAGGTCAATATTGCTGTCCAAAATATAAGGACCAGAATAATCTACACTGTTTTATAGGTTGTTGTGAGTAATTTTACAGAAATATCTGCTTAAATGTTTCCACACTAGTCTTTTCAACTGGCATTTTTTTTTTGCTGCTCTCATATACAGTACACTACCAGAATGCTTCTAGTTTTTCTGAGGGCTACTGACAAAAGACACTTCTGAGACAGTGATAACTTATTTTCATAAGAATAAGGTGATTTATTTTCTTGTTCATATATGGTTAGCTACTAAAACACATTAGCTGTGCAAAAGCGAGAACCAACCATAATAATCCCAATTTGTACTATAAACCCTTTTACTATGATAAAGGTAGAGTAGTAGGCAGACATTAATATTTACTGATGTAACTTCCCCTCTTTGTCTCCACCGTCTGTGTTTTCCTAATTGTTCCTTCTATCAACATGACAAAAATGTCGTTATCAAATCCTTCTTTGGCAACAAACCTCTTCCACAGTTTTTGAGTGAAGTAAAAATGAGATCAATGGACTAGATACGTCAATCAGTACTGGTGAAAAAGTACACACTCCAAAAGAAGGCTAACATGAACACAATGGGATAACCTTGCTGGGAGAAACTTGAGCCAAACAAAATGTAACAGCAGTCTTCTTCAAAAGACATAATACAATTAAAAAAAGCAGAACACATTTGAAAGTGAATATTAATTAGCAAAGCAGAAGGAGTTTTTATTCACACTTATTGTATTAGTTAATGTAGGTAAATGCTGTGATGTGGAGAAGCTGATGCTGGGAATAGTCATACTTCTCTTTCTGCTCTAAGGAGTGCAGTGTTGGCAGAGAGAGCGTTACAGACGGAAGACAGAGCAGCCTGTAATTGGCCGGCTCAATCTCCTCATCCCATCCACACTCTCTCTCTCTCTCTCTCCCTCTGTCTCCCTCTCTCTCTCTCTCTTCCTCTGCCTTGACTGACGGCGTGTTTCCTCCAATCCCTGCAGGGCCGTGTGAGGCGAGGAACCAATAGCCTGTCAGGGAGGGCCGAGCTGGGTGCTGTTGGCCAGCTCCAGGCAGAGATGCTGCATTTGGAACTTATCGACGGTGCTGACGGTTACCACGGTGACACAGAGTCCACGAAGGCATCTGCCATCGCACCCCCGCCTCTCATCAAGGACCCTGCAGCAGCACCTGTTACCATGGATACGTACCGCCCCAAGAGACCCACGACCCTTAACCTCTTAACGATTGTACCGCGCACACAGGTAGATTCTGACTGAGCCACACACACACACACAATTTTAGTGATTTTTCTTTTCTCCTCCTATTCTTTCTATCTGTGTGTCTTGCCTGTCTGTGTTTCCTTCCTCACCACAAATATGACATGACATTTAGAAATGTAAATATGAATGAAGAGCCTTTGTGACATCACTATTGGATTCACGACAGTTGTTTTTCTGACAGGATGTGTTCACTGGCCTAAACAATAGCCTCAATTGTCTTGACACAGAGATGTTTTTTCCTCGGTGCCCGTCTCTGTTAGTGTTTGAATGCTGCTCGAGCTCGTGACTGTGTGTCTGCACTTGTACTTTCATCTTTGTGAGGACCAATCTCAGCTTTAAACCTCTAAGGGGAAGACATTTTGTTGTTAAAGGGCTGTTTTGAGTATTACTTTAGGCTTATGGTTAGAATTAGGTTTAACTTAATATTAGGAGCTGCAGAATGCACATTATTAATAAGGGTCCTCGGAAATCTATAGATGTACAAACATGAGTATATATATGATTTTCAAAATGAGTATGTGTGACACAGTAGGTATGCGGCTATTCACTATTCACCAGTGGTATAAACATTGACACACTACTTGTTTGTGTGTGATTGTGTGTGTATGTTGCGTGTGTGTATTAAAAACAGATCACTATTCTTTCCTCCAAACTTGACAACAGAATATATCATATCTACTGCCCTCAAGAACGACACACAAGAGTTTTCTTATACGACAACTTGATCTGCGGGTGATAAGAAATCAATCAAATGCTCATAAGCTGAAACTGAATCGTTTTGAAATATGTAAAAGAGAATTAGGATTTTGGAATCACAAAAGTTTTGCTGAGATTGCAACAGTAATATGAGCTGTCAGTAGCTAGCAAGCATAAAGAGACAAAGCAACATTAGGATTTATATTTCCAACAGATGAATGCAAGAGCAATGGAGAGAAGTGAGAGTAAAGCATACAGTAGTAAAACTATACTCTGAAAGAGGCTTACAAGCTCTGTGAGGTTATCACTATGATTGACCCCTTTCACATCACATGTACCTACTGTAACCAGGCTCTGTAGATGGATCTGCATGTAAGCTGATTGTATTATGCAATGCATAGAGTAATATCAAGCGAGTTTGCCTATGATTCTTACACACAGACACACACACCCCCACAGTGCATGCTGTCAACATGATCAACCAAGCGGCTCTATATTTGTCTACTCTTTGCTCTTTTGTGTGTGTGTGTGTGTGTGTGTGTGTGTGTGTGTGTGTGTGTGTGTGTGTGTGTGTGTGTGTGTGTGTGTGTGTGTGTGTGTGTGTGTGTGTGTGTGTGTGTGTGTGTGTGTGTGTGTGTGTGTGTGTGTGTGTGTGTGTGTGTGTGTGTGTGTGTGTGTGTGTGTGTGTGTGTGTGTTTAAGCTGTCAGAACTGGAAAGTATAAAGGAAATAATTGCTCTGCTGCATTTCTTTCTTCTTGGGAGGTCTTCCTGTCTCTTGAGACATTATTAACCCTCTTCATGCAGCAGCTAGGAAACAAAACCTGACGTGAAATATTTAAATGTTAAATTGCTGAAGTGCCCTGTGCATGAACCACGAAGACATCAGGCAAACTTCTGCACAATTTGGGCTCGTTTTGATTTCTGGACTTTAATATATATTTAGCAGATGATGTTGTCTGCTACTCTCAGGATCTAGCTGTTTGTTTAGATTGTTATGTGTTGCAAGCCAAACCTTGATTGGCATTACCGTGTTGATTTTGTACAAAATAAGGACAGTTGTGATAAGAGAAATGTGTTTGGTTCAGGGAGTTCAATGGATAACACACTTTTATTTGTACCACTGCAGCATTGGAATAATGATCAGAATAATCAGAGAACGACTTCAGAGTGTCCTTAAAAATAGTATTTTTCAACCTATTTCTTGTCATTAGCATTTTGTTAGCTTAGCCACTCCACCTACATTGATATATCAATCTTCATCAATAATGTTGGAAGAAAAATAATGAATTATACCAACCAAATGGCAAGGGGCATAAAGTGGCTCTGATTCAGATGACACGCTACACCTGTAGCATGTTCTTTATGTAAAAAAAAGATGAAAAGAGATAGATTATTTATTTTTCTCCAGCACACCGATAGTTGAGACATGACAGCTCTAATAGCTCCGGCTGACAGTGAAAGCTTTAGTCAAACTGTGCAGACACAATTCAAATGAGATGAGTGTTGATGATGTCTAGGCAGTTTTTCACATACAGAGTACTGTAAGAAGAGACAGAGAGACAGCGCACACTGGGTGACTGTTTCCAGGTCAGTGGATATGTAAAAATGCAAAAATATACAATTAGCTCTGCCTCATTTGGCAGAAAGTGACAAACCCCTGTGGTCAAGGAGAAGCAGCTTTCAGAAAAGCAACATTTTTAGAAACAATAATTTTACAAGATGAATAGCCGAAACTGTCATGAAACTAGAACACTTCTTTTATGTAGACAAGTTTCTTTTGGTAGTTAGTTGCATCCAGGCATTAAAAGAAGATTAGCAAAAGTATAGAAAATACAATTACAATACACAATGTCTTAAGATTGAAGAAGACATATGTGCAGTATAAATAGCTCTTTGCAGAAACAAGGCCAGGTTTTATTTCACAGATGGACTCCTCTGAAGCTGCTTGAGTAAAATGATTCAGACAGAAGAAAAGATCAGACACCCATCTCAGGAGGGATTCCTCCGCCCTAATCCAAGTCCAACTCTAATCTTTCACCTGTCTATGGCACACGCCTTATGTTAACGTACTGTGATTTGGATTGTTAACCTACCTCCACGACACCTCAGTTTAGTAGCATCGAGGGCAAAGACAGCATAAAGAAAATGGTGGAAAACTGGCATGGTAGGCATCTATTACATTATATCTATTTATATATATGTGTAAAGCTCTATCTGCTTTTCAAAACAAAATAATTAAGACAGCTAAGGAAAGGGAGTGTTAGTCAAGCTTCCTCGTTAACTCTCTCCTTTCAGTTACTGCAAATGGCAAATCTAAATGTAGCCAATAGCTTTAGATAATGTATAGAGGTTCAGGAAACAACCATCCTAACTGAGTGTGATAGGCTGAGACTTCTCTCAATTAACACAAACACTCCAAAATAAACACCTGTTTGTACTTTATCAGAAGTTTACTCTATCATTTCTATTTATAATAAAAAACAGTCTCACAGAGTTAATTTCTTAGTTCTGGGAACATGTTTACGTCTTTATACGGAATCCACATTAATGTCGAGTCATGTGTTAGCAGTCACTCCCATGGAGTCACTCCCATGGAGTAATAAATACACACACACACACATTATATCTGAGTCACTGCCCTGAGCAATGATCTTTTTATCGTTCTTGTCAACCAAACCTTTGCTTCTCATATCAGTGCTGCTGTCTCCCACCTCCTGCTGATTCACTTGTTACCAAGGCAACAGCTCTGTCTCCGCCCGGTGCACGTAGATGGGAAGTGAGTCATGCATGTTGGTGGGCGGACAGAGAAGGAGGATTAAATCTTATTTTGGACTACTGTCATCGTCACAGGAGTTTCCACTTCTGTTTTCTCTCTTAACCTCAATTCCAATATGTATTCCTGTTTTGTTTTTTGTTTTTTTATAAACTCTGGGCAGGTGTGTATAGTGAATTTGAACAGATTTAAGTGATTTAAATTCAAATAGCTGCCTGCTGTGGTTAAAAGCTATGCTAAAAGATCAGTAAGAGTGCTGCTGATTTGGTACATTCATCACTATGAGTAACCCCTTTTAGATTGTTAGGGTTGGGCGCTGTCTACTAAACTGACTAATGACAATGTCAACAGTCATTCCCCTTATCGAATCTGACGTTCTGTGGCAAGAAATAAGTTAAGTTAAATAAGTTAAACTAAAAAGTGTAAGAAGGCATTTACAAGTAAGACGGTTTCTAGAAAATACTCTCGTCAACCCCCCCCCCCCCCCCCCCCATCAGTCTAAAAGAGATTCCCAGTATATGTGTGTGTTCCCAGTAGCTTTGGAAAAAGGTCTAGTTCCCTTTAAATGCACCTCACGGAGCACAGACAAAAGACTCCCTGCTCATTCAACAGAATAAAAGCTTTGTGTGCGGTTGTGTGTGTGTGTGTGTGTGTGTGCGGTTGTGTGTGTGTGTGTGGTTCTGTGTGTATGCGCACGTTTGGTAGGGGAGGAAGAGAGAGCGTCAGACAAAAAGTTGTGTACATTGAGTGTCTGGATCCAGAACTCCGTGAACACATTTCTCTCTTCCTCTCTCTTTTCCACTGTGTACTATCTTTAATTCTTTCTCACGACTTCCCTTTTATTCTCTTCTTCTTTTTCTGCATTTCCACAGGATACATTAAACAACAACTCATTTGGGAAGAAATACAGTTGGCAAGAGAAGGTTTCAGGCTCGTCCTCGCCTCTTAAAACAGGTGAGATTGTTTGATTCCACAAGGTTTTGCACCAATAATCGTATTACTTGGACTTACTGGTAACTGAGATGTGCAGACCAGAATGTTGATAGTATTCATTCTTGAGCTTCTAACACAGGAACTAAATGTGAGTAGGACTTTCATTCAGCCTGGCTGGTTTTTCTCTAATAAAGGCTTGGATTAGCTATGCTGAGCTAACTGTTGCTAACTGAGGCAATTGTGTGTTATCCAGCACTGGCTTAAATAGCTGGAAGCTGTCCTAGCTCATTGCTACAGCTCTTTTTAGAGCACCATGTGAGGCGAGACTGGCAACAGTCAACGCCACTGATGAAAAAAGTAAACAATTACATTACTTGTTATCTCGATCATTAAAAAATAAGAAAAAATAAAATAAATATGTAAAAAACTGAATTTGTCAACTTGCCTTTTTATGTCTGCTGCACCAAAATGAATTGATTTTTAGACCCTAACCCTAACTGCCAACAACGGTGGCATTGCGGCCACTTTTGCTGACTCAGACATTCAACTAAGAGGCTGATGATTGATGCTCATAATAACAGTCTAGTCAATAAGGTGGCTGCACTAGAAAGATCTGTCCAATGTTGCTTAATAAAAAAAACTTTTCCAACAAGAAAGTCATTGGCCTTCTTTCAGAATAACAGTTTATTGTTTGGTATCAAACTAAAACATGAAGAAAACAATTTGAATATTTAAGAACGTCAACAATGCAACGACAAAGCGATTACATAACTCGATCAAGATAATCATTGTCTGATATTTTCAACGAAGAGAAGTGAGATGGTATTTTTTAGTTAAAAAACAAAAGATAACTACGAGCTGCTTATTTGTTCCAATTCAGGGATGCTTCAAGTAAATGTTTTCCACCATACTTTATTTATATGTATCTTTATTTTCAAAGTTGTTTTGACTCACACAAGAAAACTCAGACTTGCTGTGATAAAACCTGAATGAACACAACCGCTTCCATTCATATGCAAAGTTGAAATTGAATGCCATTGATTCACAAGTACAACAGACTCAGTTGGTTTTAAGAATGTTTTGAAGGAGTCACCGGAAAATATATATACTACATTTTAATTGCCAAGTAATTGATATAAGTAAGTATCCATAGATAATGATTTTAACACAAAATCAATCTTAAAAGGAGAGACAAGGCAAAAATGTTTTAAATTGGCTTTTATGGGCCGTTGCTGAAGTTTGTTGAAACAGAACTCACTTGTCTTTTGCTCTCCTTTAGCTTTAGATGTCACTGTTGCATTACCCACAATGAAAAAATAAAGCCTGGATTTGCTGCTGATGGATTATGACATAAGTCACCAATCGCCTTCTCCTGGCCGCACTTAAAATGCGATGAGTAATGGGAATTTAACTGCGTAATCCCAACATCTGTTACCTAACCATTTCTACTTTTCTCTCTTCCTTTTTGTGCTTCCCTCTCTCTATATGTGCATTTATTGTCATGTCTGCCTGTCTGCATCATGTTTATTTACTGTCTGTGTGTCTGGTCTTTATGTGTGCTTGTGTGTCTGCGTGCGTGTTTGTGCGTTTTGCTTGCTCTTCCTGCAGGTGAACGCACCCCTCCACGTGAGCACAGTTGTCTGAGCGACGAGGACAAGTGTCAGGGCGGGGGAGCGCAGACCAAAGACCGCGGGACGTCCACTGACGCCCCCTGTAGACACAACCACACCTCTGGACACACGAAAGGCTCATCTACAACGGCTGCCACTCGCTCCAAGCTTCAGGAGAAGCCCCCTGCGCCACCCCCACCGCAGAACTACACTCCAGCTCCTCTATACCCAGCGGGGAAGGTGGATGGAGGTGCTCCCCACAAGGAGAGGATCCGCTACCAAACGGATGTTCATCTAGAGCCCACAGAAGAGATCTATCTAACTCCTGTGCAGCGCTCCGCCGACTCACTAGACCCCCCTAACTCGCAGGACCGGCCTTTCCTCTCGCAGCAGACTGAGCAGGGCCGCATGTCTATCAGCTCGGACACAGAGGGCCCGCCTCCTTACCAGCCCCTTCCAGACCGGACAAACACCTCCATCTATGAGGAGGACGAGGTCTATGTCCCCCCGCCTTCATATGCTTCTTGTATAGAGGCCCTGATCACACCTCCCTCAGCTCGCTCCACCCTCACGCTGGACCTAAGCCGGAAAGGGTCAGGAACGGGGGCCGGGGTCATGCTGAGACCCGGATCATCGGTGGAGTACGTGGATGCCACCGATGATAGCTACTGTGGGGAGGATGAGGATGTGGACAGGATAATGATGGACGGACAGACGAGGAAGGGGGAAGGGATCGGGGATGGCGGTGGCAGCAAAGTCCCACTACGGACTTCCATGAACTCAGAGGCAAGCGGCCTTTCATATGACTCGGTCAAATACACATTGGTGGTGGACGAGCACGCTAAGCTAGAACTGGTTAGTCTGCGGCAGTGTTACCAAGGTTACAGTGATGACAGCGACTCGGCCACCGTCTATGACAACTGCGTCTCTTCTCCCTTCGAGTCGGCCATCGGGGAGGAATATGAGGAGGAAGATGAGGACGATGAGGACGGCATTCAGATAGGAGGAGTGAGGAGAGAGGCAACAGCTTGTCTGTCGGAAGATTCCACTCCGGAAGTCGATCTACACTTTTCCAAAAAGTTCCTAAACGTCTTCATGAACGGACACTCTCGCTCCTCCAGTAAGTCACTCATGAGTTTTTTTATTTCAAATTTGAATATTTTACATAGTTTTTTGTGCATGTAAAGGGTCTGCAAAGGTTTCTCCCCTTTGTTTTCTTCCGTAACATAGTAACATCACCACGTAACACTCGCGCTTCTATAGAGAACCGCAGTGACGCGTCCTAAAACCCGGAAGTAAGTTAGCATTTTTACCATGTCCGGTTCCTTCGACAAAAAGCAATGCAATTTCTCCATAGGATTTTGGAAAATAGCTGGAAATAAGGTCTGTGTTTGACACAAATTGAAGAGACAGATCACGTTTTGTTCTACGACATTAAATACATCAGCAGTGACCCCGCTGGTGATTTTTGAAGAGTTTACGTGTCTGAAAAACGATGGTTGTTAACAAGTGGCTGAATAGGACTACAGAAGTTGTCCAGGCCGTTTTACGTCATTACACTGAACACGTAAACACTCCCGCTAAGTTTGTTTGCCCTGTTCTGCTTGAAAGCAAGTACCTGCCTCCTGCAAACTGTTCAAACAAACGCTTCAACTTGTACCATTTATAATTTGTATGTTTGAATATGGATCTTAAGTTGGCGTGACTTTGAAGCAGCGACCCTGCTGTAGTTCGTTTATAGCATAACGTTAGCATTTTGCTTCTGGCGACTAGATTTATGATTCGAAAATTATAAAAGTAGGGTAGACATGATGTGGATATTTTCTGGCTGAACAAAACGTGATCCGTCTCTTAAATGTGTGTCAACCACAGACCTTATTTCGAGCTATTTTCCAAAATCCTATGGAGAAATTGCATTGCGTTTTTGACGAAGGAACCGGAAGGAGTTTACTTCCGGGTTTTAGGACGCGTCACTGCGGTTCTCTATTGGCAAGTGCTCCAACACATTGTACTTGATAGGCTAAGGGGCGGGACATCTTTAAGCAGTTGACCAATCGCAGCAGAGCTGGCCAACTACCCAAACAGAGGGTGAAAAGAGGTGCTGCAGCAGAAGCACAGGCAGTATGAGAAAATAAATACCTTTTTGAACATTACAGTCACAGTAGAGGCATAAAATACAATAACCCAGAATATGAGCATAATATGTCTTGAAACTTTTTGGGAGGCTCAAGAGCATACTCTTAAGTGATGAGAATGGGAATGTTTGGTTTTACCCTCCAACTAAAAATACATATATTATGCAAAGACAATCAAGCTAAGATACTTGTTTGTATATAGAGTAGCCTCACAATGCCAATGTGATGTCACAGCTTCTTAAATCAACAATATTTGTATTATCTTTTATCAACAATATTTCCTTCTTTCGTACACTTGCCAGATAGCTCCACCTCGTCTTTACATTTTGCCAATGTGCATACTTTTTAATATCCGCCCCCAAAGAGAGTTATGTGTGAAACAAACAGAGAGAACATAGATACAGCCGGCTGTGTCGTTTCCATTTAACACAGAGTAATGTGAATGAATGCTGTCTCGCTGAATTTGCAGTTTGGTGGGAAAGGCTTAAAGGGATGTTGCTGATAAAGCAAATCCACAGAGATATTCAAGAGCTGGAATATTCTCATAGAGCGCAGATCATCATGTACAGTAACTCTAGATGATGTGACTGTCTGTCTGCACTGAGTTATCTTGTAGAATCACATGTGAATCTGTTTTTTTTTTTTTTACCATAGCAGGGGTTTATAAGGTTTGTAAATGCAATTAACATGAAAGTTATGCTAATTCAGGTCACAATTCCCAGCACAGCTTGTAAATGTTGTAAACCAATCACACATTTGAATAACAACACATTAGGTGAGTCTTCTTCTAGACATTTAAACAATGGCAGTACTAGAGAGGGTGTTAGGAAGGACTGAGGAAGAAAGGAAGCAATGACACAGGCAGTGAGTGGCAGTATGAAAATAATTGTATGTATTTTAGTTGATTCTGCTTAATATTTACCACCAACTGTAGTTTGACCACTCCAAATAAAATAAATTATAACCTATTACAGTATTTTAAGTCTCAAGAATTAAATCTCATATTTATTTTAAATCTTATCTTTGTTAATTATGACATTTAGCTTTTACAGAACCATAGATGCCGTCTTAAATTCATAATGACTGCCCATGCATGCCAGCAGCACTGTTATTAGGTCTGTAATGCAAATACAATGAAGATGAGGAACAACACCAACACCAAATGTAATTTTTGAAAGCCAACTCAAAATGTATGATGGTGCTTTAATTCCCAATACTTTTTTATTATTGGGTTTTTTATTGACTAAAAAACATTTTACTTTTATATTGATTAACTTACTTCATCCGGCTATAGAGAGACCCACAAGGAGGCACAGAGTTCTGCCATTGGTGGTGCAGATCACAAATACACTATTTTTTAATTCCAGGACATTGTTGATTGTCTTTAGTGTTCTGAGGTTAAATAACACAACCCGGTGAATCTTTAAAAGCAGTGTTATTTTTGTATTTATTTGCCCACCATCTGTTGCATTTTTTTCGGAGTAGTAGATCAGGGTGTGTTTGCTGCCCCCAGAGTTTTATACACACGTTTTTTGACACAGGAATATGTTATAATATTACAACTTTACTCATCCAAGTTAGCGTTTTGTTCCTTTCAAATTGATGCAGGAAAAAACTGAGATATTATTTGTGCAATCATATTTCTTAAACCTGGCGCCTACATTCCCCACAATGCAAAGCTACCTCAAAGGTTTGGTCAGAGATGTTGGGTATGCTATGCTAGTAGATTAGCTGCCTGTGTCTTTTTGGTCTCCCAGTGGCAAACAACAACAATTCTGAGGAGGAAGAGGATGATGGATTATTGTTGGATTTACCTTATCATACTGATTCTCATCCTGGGCATTCAATGGGACTTCTGTATAAAGGATATGTGTTAGCAGCCAGCAGTAGTAGGCAAGAGAGAGGACTCCTATTAAAGAAGCAGACAGAGATTAGTCTACATTATATGTGTGTGGCCATTTCCTAGTCCTTGCTGGCCTCTTGGAAGCTGGCCATGTGTGTCACAGTCTCATTAGAAAAGCCACCTCAGTTTATCTGAGCAGTGCAGAAAGGGATAAGGGATGTCTCAGGAGAGGTGACAAATACACAATGCTCATCTGTTTCATGGCTAATTACAGTGTGATTTGTCGGGTCCTAAAGAATGCATGTTTGCTTTAAATTAAACACAATGTGAGTAATTGTGTTTACTGTTTGTATGGACTTATGTTGCGTTTTAAGTCAATCATCTCTGTACCAGCCAAATACAAAGGCTGGCCCTCCACATTGTATTCGTGCCATGAGTAATTTTCCCCTTTTGATGTTTTCTTCTTCTCCGGTTTTCAAGGTGCAGAGTCCTTTGGCTTATACTCTTGTCTAATTAATGGAGAGGAGAAGGATCAGAGCCACAGAGCTGTCTACAGGTGAGGAATAACGGCATCGCCGCATCATTCATTAAACTGTACTTCTCATGTTTTGAATATACAGAGAGGTGGGGTTCTAGCAGATTTCAAAGTTGTAGTAACCTTCAAACAGGCTCATCTCCATCAGTCATGTTTTATTTTGTATGGAGTTGGTAGAGTAGCAAACGCTCCATTTCTTCATGTTTCCCCCTAAACTCTCACACTCCAGTTGGCAGCATGGAGCTACAGCTGCTGTTTAAGACCTCCGGCTGATAAATGCATAAGGGAGGGGGGAACAACACAGTAATGCAGTCATGTGAATCGCACAGATCAGATGATGGTGCAGGAAATTAGCTATGCATAGCTGAAAGCAGGGGGTTTTCACAGCCTTCTTTCTATTCAATAGGTTTCTAGTGTGTTTGTCTATACTATTTATTATTTTGGGGATGCCTCTATAGCTATTAGCTACTCATATGACAACAACAGCAACAGGCTAGTTATCTATCATTTTGACTTCAGCTGATGTATTAGAAGTTTAATTTCGGTAAGACTTCTGAAACTATTTGAAAATGTGTTCGATTGACTAATGGATCCATAACAAGAAAACAGTAGTAGTATATAGTAAGTATATTTTTTATGAGAAGCTGACACTAGTATTTGTTGTTTGACAGCAGGATAGAGTTTCGTAAGACTTTTAGTACATTGTATCTTATTAAACCTATAGATCAAAGTAGAAAGCAGATGAAGTGAGCGGATTCACAACTGTAATTTATCATTTTTGACTAATCAAAAGGACGCCGGTAATAATAATAATAATACATGGTCTTTATATTTCGCTTTTTCTGGTGCTCAAAGTCGCTTTACAAGCAAGTAATGAAAAATAACAACAAAAGGTAATAAAGTAAAAAGTTTGCTAAGATAAAGAGCCAATTGAGGTTTTTAAGTCTTCTGTGTATGACTGTGGTTATAATTTAATATGAAAACATGAAACAAGTTTTCCATTGACAATTATTGTAACTTTGTGAATCAAAGCTTACTATAGTTGTTCTATATTATACTTTATTATTCTTCATGAATAGGCAAGATACACATTTTTCAAAACCACCATTCAAGCTTACAGGGGGTTCACTTTTGAAACACTTAAAACGTATACTTTAAGATACGACTGCATCTGTCTGGACAGGTTTGTCCCTCGGCATGATGATGAGCTGGAGCTGGAGGTGGAGGATCCGTTACTGGTGGAGGTCCAGTCAGAGGACTTCTGGTACGAGGGCTACAACATGCGAACTGGTGCCCGTGGGATCTTCCCAGCTTATTACGCTATAGAGGTGACGAAGGACGCTGAGAGCTACAAAGGTACTGACATTGCCATGACGATGAATTAAAGAAGGCTATAAATATGTTTGTAAAACTGAAATGCATCCAAACATATTTAATTGGTGCACTACAACAGTGCATGAGTCAGTATTTCCAACTTTGTGTAAACTTTTTCTTTAAATTAAATGTTTGATTATTATATTTTCAATGTATCATCAAGTTGTAGAAATATATTATAGCTAGTATTTATTTATATACAAAAGCTCAAAAATGATAAATGATGTCTCACAGATGCAGAAAAGAGCAGTGAATGGATGGACAGATACCGGCTGAAGTTCCTGGGCTCAGTTCAAGTGCCCTTCCACAAAGGAAATGATGTTCTGTGTGCAGCTATGCAGAAGGTATGAGGCCTGTGGTGTGGGTGGGTGTTTGTAAATCATTTGACTCATAATGATATGTAATAAAATCCACAATTACACCATTTATTGTCCCATGGCATGTCCCACACCTTACAAAAACTACAAGTTGTATTTTATCAATAATTTCAAAGTCTTTAGAGTGTCATGTGTCCATTATGGAAAAAACTGTGTGTAATCGTCCAACAATCTGACACAGAACAAAAATAAAGGACCCACTTGCAATTGGCAACACCCCAAAGGAGGAAAAATAAATCCACACAAGATAACTGCTTACTTCTAATCACAATTGTACTGTTTTATAAAATATAGAACACCGTCAACATAGTTAAAATGTTAGTATTACTCTTGTCTTATCGTCTAGTTACTGTATATATTTGGTTTACAGTTTGATCGTATAGTTTTGAGCATTTTAAAGTTGTTTACATTTAATAAGTCATCTTTTACATCGGTTTTTCAGATTGCCACCAACAGACGGATGACCGTCAAGTACAACCCTCCTTCCTCCTGCATCCTGGAGATCAGTGTGAAAGGCATCAAGCTTGCAGTTCAAGAGGATTATTATGCATGTGACAGAGTAAGTACTAACTTTTTTTGGTTAATGCATAAGAAGTTAAGTGCTGCTTTATTGCACTTTGTGATATAAAACCAAAACAATTGAAGCATGTCACCCCCTTGTGGTGGCCAATAGAGGCTACAGGCAAACATGTAAGGGGGAGTGTTTTCTTTAATTTGACTCCATCTTAGGTAACTTAAAACTGCAGTTTCAACTCAAATGGGAGAACAATTATAATATCTTCTCTAATTTTCTACAGTTATTTGACAGCTGTAGTCACTTTTCAAATGAATGTTGCACATACTAAACATATTATAAACTATAAGAAGTTATGTATGCACATTTAAGTTGCCATCCACTAGGACTTATAGGACTTAGGGGGGACAGAGCCTTCTCCATCGCTGCCCCGACTCTCTGGAACTCCCTTCCACAACACATCCGAGACTGCACCGACACCCCCCACCTTCAAAACACTGACCAAAACACACCTCCTCAAACTGGCTTTTAATATGTGAATTATGTTGTGTTGCTGTTTCAATATTTTTATTCTATTACATCTCGTTTTATCACCACTGTAAAGCGTCTTTGAGCACCTGAAAAAGCGCATGGAAATGAAATGTATTATTATTATTATTAAATGATATTGTTGCAGTGAAACAACATGTTGTCAGAACATTTTGAAAATAACAGTGAGTCTCGAATCCCAAACTCTACAAATATAATCTGATTTGAAAAAGTTCTCCCATCCTAAAACACCTCTAACTAGAGTTAGCAGAGATGAGTTAATTTGTCAAATAATTGTTTGCTTGAGTTAGAACCATAGTCTGCTCACAGTGTTCATTAAATCAAACTAACTAAATAACAGACGTTAGATTGTTGTAATAGACCAATTCAAAATAAGTGTTCAACAAAGACATTTAATTAATACATTTGAAGCCTGCCCCCTTTAATAATCTTATAAAGATCAGTGAAACCAAAATCAAATAGCAAACAAAGTGTACAATCTACTTCTTGGTTGTTGGTTTGGTTAACAATGGTACCTAATGAAACTGTGGATAGAGATATTTAACTTTTGGTCAAATTGTCTTTCACATAAGTGCCTTCCTGTAGCTGTCTCATATGAGATATGTCGAGCTATTGCGTCTACAATATTTGTATCAAAGTTAATCATGGGTATACTATATTACTTTCTAGTCTTATAGTTGCTTCATGTAGCACTTCTGCATATGGATGCAGGACTTTCACCTGTATCATAAATACAAATGAGTTGATCATTCATTCAATACAGACAAAACATGGGGCAAATACAGCATATGTATTATGTAATAGTAACAGTAGGCATCAAGCAGCCTTCTTTATGGTAATCTAAATCATTATTTGCCTCTTTGCTGTGTTCTGTTTACAGAGTAACGAGTGCAGCCACTTTTTCCAGCTGAAAAACGTCTCCTTCTGTGGGTATCACCCCAAAAACAGCAAGTAAGTAAAGATATGAAGCCTGAATGAGGGACTACAACACCAAGTCCAAATGTTATGTACCATCAACCTAGAATAAAAAAAGATCAGGAAGAAGCTGTAATGTTTTGTGTTCACCTACACCAAATATTAACTTACCACAAGGTGCTGCTATAACTCAACAATGTACAAAAGACTGGGCCAACTACTAATCTAGTGTGAAACAGCAGTTTTTATTGAAATGACAGTGTGCCTTATCTCTTTTCTGTCTCTTTTGCAGGTATTTTGGTTTCATTACTAAGCACCCAGCAGACCAGAGATTTGCCTGCCATGTATTTGTGTCTGAGAACTCCACCAAACCTCTAGCAGAGTCAATAGGGTGAGTTGAACTGTGCATTAGCATATCCAGCATATCCATTACTTTACTACTACTTGGCTGACACATGCTCTGATCTGGCTTTGTTGGGCATCAATTTAGTGAAATCAAAAGGAGCTGACTGTGTAACAGTTGAATGATTTATTCTTAAACTAAAGTACAGTTTGAAGATTCTGACTGAAGTATTTTCCTTTTTTCTTTTTTTCAGGAAAGCCTTCCAGTTGTACTATAAAGAGTTTGTGGATTTCTCGTGCCCTACAGAAGACATCTACCTGGAATAGCCCTGCCTTCAACCTCAGCCCTGTACAGTACACTGTATCATAACATAATGTTGCATGAAGGACAGACATATCTAACATTAAGAACAAAGAAGAACAAATACAAAATCATCACATCTGACAAACAGTCAGGACAAGAAGGATCACATATTGGAGCTGTGGGGAAGCCTTTGTGCCGCAAGAAGAGATGAAAAAATGAGCCATAGTGTCTTTGGAAAAGAAAGATATGCAAAATGGTGTCAGTGATGAGATGGTGAATTGGAAAGCACAACTATGATATCAAAGCAGCCTTGGCAACACAAAATAGCCTGCAATGTCATCTAACCAGGTGTAACACTGAAAGCCCAGGAGCCGTACTGACCTGGACCAGTTTGAATTTGCACTTGACAAAAAAAGGGTTTAGATTTGAATACACAAGAAGAGTTTGCTTTGACTATAAATATTAAGAGTCTGAGCACTGAGGAAGTGTATATTTTCTAAATAACATCTGCACACTGAAAATGTACACTGAGTAAAACAAATCCATGTTGGAACAGTGACCTTTATTCTTCCGGAACTCCTGATAAGAAGGTGATATCCGGAATAGTTCAGTAAAAGTTCAAGAAAACCCTAAAACACTGTTGTAAAACCATATAAATACTCATAAACACCGTTAGAAAACCAGCTATAGATGATAAGCTCTTGGCATTTGTGGGTCTCTTTTAGAGAGTGATTCCGGTGCATGAAACCCTGTTTTTCCTTCATGGGTAGCTTTTAAACAAAGTCAACGTTGTAGCTGAATGAATTATAAGTGTAGTGACAAGGTGTGATCTATCAGTGGTGTAAAATGCCAAAGGTTGCATAGCTAGGGTGTCCTGCATCTTGTGTGTCAAGTTCTTTAGAGTCACACCCTTTCATCAATGTTCTGCAACGGACAGGGAGAGAAGAGAATATAATCCACAGGATAAAAGCAGATGGTAAAATGCTTTAATTTCCATGCTAGCAGATCTGGTCTGTGGTAGGCTGAAAGGCATTGCAGGTACTGTAAAATGAAGGTAACAAAACATTGAAGCAAGAGTAGGCTAGGCAGGGACAACTAAACATATTTAACACTGAACCACAAATAAACACTGAAATGCACACAAAAACAGTGTGAGGGTGTACAAGAGTGGATTTGTATTTCAAACCTTTTAGCAGTTTCCATGGTACTGTAGTCCTAAAATATAAAGCCCCCACAATTTGCCCAGTAAAGCCATAAACCTTTATTCCTAGCAACACTGCGCTTTTTTACTGTGTGTTCTTACTAGGTATAAAATCAGTGATGGATATGTTGAAAGAAAGGACATCTGGCTTAGGCATTTTGGTGGTTTAAGAAGAGTTCTGACGTACAGAATTGTCTTTCCTGTGGGTTTTTTCGACTCTCGCTCCTCATAGTTTACACATCAGAAACATGAAAGGCTCTCAGTGTGGCGGCGATCAGGCTGATTCTCAGTACAGAAGTTGCTGACAAGGGAGGAAAAGCAAGACTCTGGTGTCTTCATATCTTTACTAGTAGTGCCTCTTTTTCATCAGATCATAGTGACCTTCCTCAGTGAACATTATCACATTTTAACAGATTGCCATCGAGTGTGTGTTGAGTTCAAGTCTGAATGCAAATTGTAATGAGGGAGTGTTGTTTATGTGACTTGGCACTTTTTTTCCACTGAATGTGCTGTGCTGTACCTCTGCTGTCACCGGTCACATCTTACTACAGTCAAATAGTTGCAACACTGAGCCTGTGTGCACATTCTTCAGGTGTGTACATACATAATATACATAGGAATGTATTCAAAACGCAAATGAGGCACCTTTAATATGTTAAGGAATATAATTTCCAAAACTGCAGCCAGCAGACCAATGGCCACAGGTCAGGAATGGCAACATGTTGCATGGCTACATGGTACCTCGGAAATATTGCTGGAATAAGGTTTTTACATCAACGCTATAGCTGTTGGCTGATGCTAGCAATTACAGTAGAGTAAATCATTGAAAAATAAACAATTGCCACTGTTTTAAGTCTATCTGGGTCCAGCATGGGTACAGCACAGTTGTTTCTGCTGTGAAAAACAACAGAGGATGTGCTTCCTACATGAAACTAAAAAGACAACTAACACGAAAACAGATTATTCTATGTGATCTATATTTAACAAAATATACAATGTCTGTGAAAGAAAGATTATCTAATGAAGAATGTGGAAATTGTACAATTCAGCCATCTCACCAGTCTCAATGGTTCGTTCCTTTGAAAAGAAAAACCTGAACAAAATAAACAGCCGTCTGTTGTTGCTGATCAAAGCCTCATGTTAGCATAAGGAGATCAGCACTGACTTTTGAATAAATTCCCTTCTCAAGAGCCAATCAGACAAGTAATGACAACAGAAAATGTACTGGAATGGAGGCTATACTAAGGGTGTATAGATATGCCATATATAAATAAATAATTTAATATCTGTAATTACAAATATTACATTGTATTGATTCAGTATGTGAAATTGCTCTTTTTTTTAGGTGTGAATTCTTTATTTAAACATTTTAATGCAGATCTCATGGTGTCCTGTCATTATTAGGTTTGTCTGAGATACACTAACAAATGATATCACAATGAATGTGAGGTAGATAATAATATTGGGAGGATGAAATCCTCTTTAATGGCCACACATGCAGAGCACACAGCACACACAGTGAAGATTGTTCTCTGCATCTACTCATCCTAGTGCTAGGAGTCTAGCACTAGGAGCAGTAAATACAACGATATAGCGCTACTGCAATCAAAACCATACGTTACCAGGAGCGGGAGCGAGAGCACTGCCCTCACCGGCTGAGTTAAATAATGAAGCTTAACAGTACATTCAAGGTGTTAGCCAAGCGGCTGCTGCTAACAATCAAGCGACCAAGTCAAAACACAAATGTTAAGACCAGATAATACTGTAGCTTCTAAGGAAGAGAACAGCCCTCATAGAACAGTGCTTAAATGGCATAGGACCGTGGTTACAGTAGTAACTATGGCCAGTACTTACCTTACTCTCTGCATCTAAACAAAAAATGGGCAAAATATGGCACCCTGGGCTTTCCATACCAAATTGAACGAGAGACCAGTGACGTGCGGTGAGGTTCATGGCTGGTGAGGCATTGACTCACTGAGTCAGATTTACAAATATTATATTTCGACCTTAATCGAAATATTCGGTTATTTTCAAAAGCTTTTTTCGTCTGATGCTTCGATTCATTTTAAACAGACCGTTCAACAAAAGGATACCCAAAATCTAAATATTGGATTGTTCTTTCTTAGTAAGATCCCATTTTCATTATAAATGTGGTCTTACCTTGACATGAAGATGAAGTCCATGCTATCCTTCTGGACAACAATCTCTATTACTTTTTTGTAAAAGTCCTCCTTATCTTCCTCTAGTTTCAAAACAGAAGTCTAGTTTGTTGTTTGCGTCTACCGTCTCTGCGTAGAATAACAGTAGCAACAAGAACCTGTGGGCTCACCTGCGCCCCCTTCAGTGCGGCAGAGGTTATGGCTGCCTCCCCTGGTGCTTTGTTCATTGCCGTTGTATGATGAGACCAGCGAGCCTAAATATCATATATATACGTGAAATAAGTTATTTAGAGACTATGGATGGCGAGGATAAATGTAATAAAGGGATCTACAAACATTACATTGATTACCTAGATGGTAACAGGCATGCGCTTAGGGCCCGCTTTCCAGCCAGTTTCTGTGGGGTGACGCATTCTGAGGTGAGGCAGATCTCATCTGTGCCTCACCTTACCCCACAGTAACTGGCTTGAGCGCGCTCACAAAATAAGTGCCCGCGCTACATTAGTGCCCGCGCTCCAGCAAGTTACTGTGGGCTTACGAGAGGCAGAGCACGCCCCTGCCTCTCTTCTCATCGCTCCCGTAGCGGAGCTCGGCAAATTAGCTGATTTTGACTATAAAAAGCGATTGGAATCATACATAAATCACACTTACAACACAGATCAGTGGAGACATTTTATTATTATTACTATTTCGTTTTTCTTTAGTTGTTTTTCCGTTACATTGGAGTATGACAGGTGAGGCTCTGCCTCCCCTGCCTCCCCTGACTGCACGTCGCTGCGAGAGACGCAGCTAAAGCTGGGAACTCAACATGCTAATGATAGCTCGGGCACAACGCCACAAGCAGAACTTTCAAAAGAGAATAATAAGGGCAACTTTATGGGAGAGGAAGCGGGAACACTGTCGTCACCAGAAAGTCTTATGCTGCGTTCACACCGGACGCGATGCGATGTTTGGGGGCGGCGCGATTACATGTAAAGTCAATGCAGAGACACGGACAGACGCGAATTCGCTCCGACGGTGCGCATGAAGCGGTGGACGCGGCGCGAATCACGCGATTGAGGCGATTGAATGGTGCCGAGTTCAATTTTTTCAACTCGAGCGTCAAATTCACGTGACGCGTTCTCGCGGAAGCCAATCAGTGGTGAGGATCTCAGCCGCCGTCAACCACACAACATCAGCCGTTAGCTGTTAGCAGTTAGCACACAGAGCTCACAGCTCCTCATATCTGTTCAGAAACTGGACAAAAAAAAACAAGTACAAACCACAGACTGTCTGTGCCATGGCGAATACAGTCGCTGCTTTATTTATGTCTGTAGGCCGTTGTTATGAGTGTGGAATGAGCATATACAACGTTAGCTTAGCCTGGTCGACCCGATCTTCATTCAGAAAACAAGCATTTTAAAAGGTGTTTTGCCTGCCGTCTTGTCTGCAGACTCGTCAAAGCATTAATTCATGGTTGTTACTAACCGGTATCAGTATGTTGTTACTTCGGCATCATTGAGAAACGTGTATTACAATTTAATCACGGTAAAATATGTTCATTTGTTGTAGTTGTAGCTCCCGAGCCAGCGCGTCTTGTTTGAATGATGCGAGTAAACACAGCTGGCAGCCGCGGTGAAACTCCAGCGTTTAGAGCGATGCAATAGGAGCGATTAGAGTGAAGCGAATAGTCGCATCGCGTCCGGTGTGAACGCAGCATTAGCCAAACAATAAACAAGACAGCAATCAGGACAACCTTTTTAGGTAACTATTATTTTTTGAAAACTAACATATATGAATTCTAGAATCTGGAGTTGTTGATGCAGTTTGGCCAAGAAGTTGTGTTAACAATGGCGTCAGACAGGATCAGTCAACACATTATTGCTCTCCTTATGATCTGTTTTGTGTTTGGTCAAGGCCTTTCTGCACCTTTGCTAAGCAGGTACGTACTTCTTTTTGTTAATAGCCACAAAAGACTGTTAGGCCATTCTCCAGGAAGACACTGAATGTGTGTTCTGCTTAGACATGATGGGGAGTTTACTTGCCTTGATCCTCATGGCAGTATTTTAAGTCAACAGTTGAATTCTCTGTTTGCTTTGCTATTGTGATCTACCTACTTTTTGTGGGTGTATTTAATTCTGCTAGATCCCTCTCTCATAAAAGACTAACAGTGTAGTTAGTAGGGTGTTTTTGTGTAGTGTGTGACACAGGGGGTTATAGGACATGGGAAAAACTGACAGAACACACGGAAGCAGCATCAGGTTATAAAAGGTGAAGGGGGCAACCCTTCTGGTTACATCAGTAAACACTTTCCTTACCAGTTTATGGTCATAATCACTTGTTCAAAGTCTTCTACTATAAACTTTAGAGTAAAATATACAAAAAAAGCAACATATACCTGAGGGCAGGGTAGCATTGTCTTTAAAAGGTTGCTTACATTACGTTGTGCGGTGTGGAAAAAACTACATTTCACATTGCAATTGTAGTAGTTTCTTTATCAGAATATTGTCCATACAGTAGGTTGTTATGCATGTACACAAAGACAGTTTAATGGTTTCTGATACCAGCGACCCCCACAGTGTGATGATGTTACCGTGACTGTTTGTATCTGATGTTGTGTGTCTTCCAGCAGAGCTGATGAAGGTACAGCAGAGTTAAAGTTGCTCTTTGACCCCGGCCTTCACAAACGGCACATTAGCCTTACAGATGGTAAGATAGCCACATTTGAATAACCAAATGATCAAGCTACCAAGGCAGACACTGAACAGAGGAACATTGATAAAACAGAGAGAACACTATCAAACTTTATTTGAGCAGATTATACATTAATCTGTTTGTGTTAATATGTTGCTGCAGATTACGGTAAGAGGCCCCTCCCTCTTCCCCTGCCACCAGACTCTGAAGATCCTTATCGACCTAACCTGGAAGATGAATACTACTGACAGAAGCACAGCAGATCCTGATGTGGATAAATGAAGCTCATCTGTCCTGCAGGGAGGATTAACTCCAATAAAAAAACAACCTCAGGGTGAAATAAGTACAGAATTATGTTGTGTTTGTGCATGTTTACTTATATGTTGTTCCTTTTAGGGACAACATAATGAAAGTACATTGAGACGAAGACGTTGTCACTATATGCATAAGACACATGGTAAAAGGCACACTTAGGACAACGCATTCAAAAACACTGCAATTAATGTTAAAGGTCCCATGTCATGGCCATTTCTACTGATCATAATTCCATTGTTGAGGTCTACTAAAATAGATTTATATTGTGCAATTTTCCAAACTCACATTGGTTTCTCATACAGCATCTCTGTATAGTATGTGTATTCACTCTCTGTCCTAAATGGCTTGTTGGAGCTCCTGCCCCCCCCCCCCCCTTCCTGTGAGCCCAGTGGCCGTCTGCGAGACAGCGAGACACAGCGAAACCCAGCCTGAAACCAGCCCGAGCACACACACACACACACACCCGCAGCCTGGCTGGGAGTTTGTGTGTGTGCTCACACACAGACTCACAGCCTCGCCGCATCCCGCCGTCTCAGGCGGAGAAATCGGCGGAGCTGCAGCTGAGAAAAGATTGTGTGTGTGTGAGGAAGTCCGCGGATTTGTCCATTTGGACCAATCCACGGACTTAACGTAACGGCTCCGCGGACGTAACTATACCCAAATACGTCACTTAGGGAAGTGAATTCGTAATATGTACACTCTGTGGACTTTTACATTAGAGGTGCGGGTGCCCATTGGACAGACCAAAATGTATTCTTACTTTTGCCCCAGAGTGTACTAAAAATAAGCCGGGGTTCTCCACGCATAGGCACCGCCGGGGGCTTCCACATGGGGAAACAATGGGGGTCAGGCGAGCTTTCCCCTCAGAGATAGAAAATATTAAAGTTTTTGGGATTTGTTGCGTAATTCACGAAAGTTCCACCAGGGGGCGCAGTGTCCAATTAATGGAATTCACTATACAGTCAATTATGCAGCAGCACCACACACCAGCCTCTAATTATTAGGCTAGTATACATAATAATTACCAACATTATTCAAATGACAGACATGTGACAATTATAGCTTGGTAATCAAGTCCATACAGTTGCAGTTCATGCATGTGTAGTTTTCCTTCTTCTTTTCTTTATACGAGTCATAAGTCAGTTAGGTCAAAAGGTACCACCACCTAGGCTCAGTCAAAAAGGATTATGAAAAGTTATGTTGGTCTTTTTTCTGAGCAGGGTTTATCAAATTAAGAGTTTTAGTCATTGCATATATCAGTCTGATACCACTAGGGATACTATATCCCCTTTTCTGTTTGAATTGGAAAATTATATAAGGGGATGATAAAAGCTGTAAAGTAGTCCTATAAAACATAGAATGTTAGTATGTTAAAACAACAGAGTTAATGTTAATGTATTTCAGTTAAGGTATATTAACAAAATCATAGACTTTAATCGCTGATACAACATAACTTGACTTTCACCATTGTCTTCAGCCACTTTCTCCCCTATACAGTTTGTCCATCTCTGCATGCTCAGTTGCCTTTATATAGCCCCCTGGTATGTTGTTTAAAATGATCTATAATGTTTTAGTTTCTTCTTTTTTTCATTTATTTTGCATCATTTTAGTGGGCTCAAGAACATGAGTGCTGGAATATTTTGTTGTCTTGTGGTGCTTGTTGTCAGCTGCACTTTCTTATATTTAAGGTGAGTACCAAAGCATCATTATTGTTCTTGGAGAACTATAAACCCAGTAAATGTTTTGCAAAAGTCTTCCCGTCAAATTATGGTTACAATATTAGGTATTTAACGAGCCTCTTTCCTGTGGAAAATCTGCCAGTGACGAATAACAGAGAACCGACACAGATCATGAATTTAGACGACACGCTTAACTTTGGGTAAGAGACCGTACCCTTTGCATACTCAATATCAAATCCTATATTTAAAGGGCATTTAAAAAAAAAAAACATGTCACCCAATTTTAATGAAAAAGAATCAGGTTTAAAAGAATGTCGACAAAATATATGCCTCACTCATATAGTTTCAATAATCTGAATAGGAGAGTAGTGACGCTGAATTCAATTTAAACACCCATGTAAAATATGAAATGTAATTGATGAAACCTAAGAAAATAAACTGCACAGCTCAAATTCTTGCCTGGACAAAGCACCTTATCCCAGCAGCAACATGTGATACCTGGTGCAACAGCAGCAGTTTGATTTTTTGTAAGAGTTGTGCTACCTGGCTGATGCTGGGCAGTTTGGTGAGCAGCATCTGGAAGACGGGTGGAGGCAGAGTCTGCTGCAACACCTGCAGCAGACTCTGGGGCTGCCCACACACTGCGATGGCGTTGGTCAGGTGGTCCACGCCTTTCTCATAGTCTCCTGTGGAGAGGAGACAGAGGTGAGGGAAGTACTCAGACACTTCACTTAATAAGCCAGCCTAAAAATAGTCATGCATTCAAAATGTTAATTAAGTCAAAGTAAAGAAGTATTATCAGCATAATGTTTTCCAATGTTGTAGTTTGTCATTATGGAGCCATTACTTGGTAGTACAGTACTGCATCATATGATGTAAGTTAATGTTTTTGTTATTTAAAGAGTAACACTTTGTCAAACAACACTAGAAATACTAAAGTATTACTTAAGTACAACTACCTCAAGTACAAGTATCTCAACATTGTTATTAAAGGGGCCCTATTGTGCTCATTTTCAGGTTCATATCAGTATGTAGTGTCTCTACTGTGACATGTCTCCATGCTTTAATGTTCAAAAAGCTCATATTTTTCTCATACTGCCTGTGCTGCAGCACCTCTTTTCACCCTCTGTCTGAAACCAGAGCCCAGTCTGCTCTGATTGGTTAGCTGGCCGGCTCTGCTGTGATTGGTCAAACGCTTAGAGATGTCCCGCCCCTTAGCCTATCATGTACGATGTGTTGGAGCGCTAGCCAATAGCTGTGTGTAGGTGCGTGGAGGTGTGTGTATAGGTGTGTGTATAGGTGTGTGTGTGTGTGTGTGTGTGTGTGTGTGTGTGTGTGTGTGTGTGTGTGTGTGTGTGTGTGTGTGTGTGTGTGTGTGTGTGTGTGTGTGTGTGTGTGTGTGTGTGTGTGTGTGTGTGTGTGTGTGTGTGTGTGTGTGTGTGTGTGTGTGTTACCCTGAGCCAGCAGCTCCTCCCCCAGCTGGATCTCCTCCAGGAAGAACTTCTGCACCGCCTCAGCGTCCTTCAGGTCGGGGAGCTGCGGGACAAACAGCCGTCAGCAACAGGAAGTCAAACTGTTTCTGAGTGATCAATATTCAGATCTGATCTGTGAGCCACTCGTACTTTCCAAGATGCAAACGCTTATTGTGAAATGCACACTCGATACAGCACAGCTTTGGCAAGGGAAACATTAGAGATCAGGCTCCTCCAACAATTCAACAATATATAGACTAGATAAATCATAATATAATATAAAATAAAAGACTAATACAGGAAGTAAAGCTTTTAAAATAAAACCTAAAAATAGCGCTTACCAATTCTACAAAAATATTATTATTATTATTATTATTAGAATAATAATTAAATAATATGTGTATTATTATAAAATAATAATATAAATAATATTTGATTAAGAATAACTTTTATCATACTAATACTAATAACACTACTAATAATAATAATAATGAATGTTGGTACATAATCTGAATTATGGATTGTATTTGAATGGAATTCTTGAATTTATGGGTTTCAAAGAGAAAAACTAAATATCAGTGATACAACAACAACAACAATGTGGTAAATAATATACAGAGATGTTTGCACAGAGATTTCCTCGGGTAAAATGTTTTATATATTTGAGAAACTAAGAAATATTTTTATATATTTTGCAACTTAACCATTTTCCTCTTACTATGAAGCACACTGTAAATGATTGACAGGAGATAAGAGGAAGCGTTACAACACGATAAGGACTGTTTGTGCTCACCTTTGCCATGCCCGCCCTCTCTGTGGCTACCTGCTGCTTTCTCCTCCAGAGACAGAGACACAAAGAAATACAAATTAAAAACCAAGAAATGGATTTAACAACCACCTGTAAAACAGCAAGATTTTTATTTTGTTCATGGCTTTAACTGCTCCTTTAAAATTTAAAGTAACCTTGATTTAAGAGGTTCAATCACTGGCAGATAACTTTTCTCTTTTTTTCTTAGCTTAATGAGGACATTTAACATGTTGTTATGTTTCAGCATTAGGCAACAACCTCATCAATCGAGACCCAATATCTCACGAGGAAAAAGTGAGAACAGGATAATATGATTGCTTTAATTCAGGCAACAAAATGCCATAATGATCCATAAGGGATGCTGCCTGAGAGAAAACATTCTTCTTCCTTGTTATCATGACCACTAATGTTACATATTCAATGTCTAAAAGGCCTTTAGTTTATTTGATTGTATATAGATTTCTGTTTTAGAGTGGATACATATTGTACTTGTTGTACATTTGATGAAGGTATGTTGTCTACATTACTAACCATAATAATAAAACATGTCCCCAAAGCTGCAGAGTTTAGGTTTATAGATGGATCGGAGACCGGCTGAGGTCGATCTGAGGGACCGTTGGGGTTGGTAGGGGGTGAGGAGGTCAGTGAGGTAGGGGGGGGGCAGATGGTGGAGGGCTTTGTAAGTAAGGACCAGTCTTTTTTAGTTGATGTTGTGGGAGACGGGAAACCAGTATAGTTCAAGTTCAAGTACTACAATGGAAATAAGTCTTTAACTATGTAGATTATGTCATCCATGACATTTGACTGACATCTGTTTTCCAATAAATGTAACTGAAAACGTTCATCATAATAAAGATTAGAAACAGCTTTTGACACACCTCATCCCTCCCATCTGTAAAGCAGAACCTTTGCTCCCTAACTATCAGAGAAAACCTGGTATTTCTCAATGCCCATGCAGATCAGAGGGAGGGAACAAACCAGCAGACAGTGAGAGGAGGAGCTACAGTGGAAAGAGGAGAGCTTACACGACACACTCAGGAAACAAAAGTTAAGATAGTCAGAGAGGCAGCCACACTGCAGTTGAGACAAGTCTCTGTTTCTGTCTAAAGAAAATACAAACTGAGTTCATCAGAGGCCTGTACTACGAAGCTGGATTTTCGCTTAGCCGGCTGACTTCAGGGAAAACTCGGGCTTTCCGGTCCTACGACGCTGGTTCTCTTTTTAGCGGGCTAGATCTCCATGGTAACTTATGCTGAGCGGCTAACCTCCTCGGGAGGAGGTTAGGTTGCAGGCTAAGAGATCAACTCAGTGAAAGCACCGCCTGCTGACCAATCAGAGCTCCGTGTGCGGAGTTTAAAGCTATCAAGTCATATTACAGGATAGAGGAAATACAGAAAAACTGCCGTTGCAGGAAAAACGGCTGGCAAAAATCAACTGACTGTGTGAACGTGAAAATTAATAGAATATCACCTCCCATCTTCAGAGCAATCTGACTATTATAATATTAGCGTTAAGAAAGCTTACTTAAATATCTGCCACGACATAAGTAACCGGATCAGAGTAACATTAAGTACAGTCCGCGGCACTGTGAGTGCAGCCGGCGATGTGTCCCATTATCATTCATATCATATCACATCATAATGTATCATATATTTCCTTATCTGAGTCAGCTGCTTGAGCCGTAACTGGCCGTGCAACACTCACAGTGTCACATACTGTATGCAGAAGTATTATTTTAAGCAACACATTAAGTTGACGAAACACTCGAGTCAAATGTAATTAAAGTCAGATCCACTCGTGTCTTGGACGGGGCAGTGATATCATAAACCTGTTAATGTACGCATTCAAACGCTTTTTCTTTTACCAGCTGTATTCACCTTGCAGGTGCAGCTATGTGGCTTTTATCCTGGATAAAGTGTTTAAGTCATGGATGTTTAAAGTTTAACTTCTTCATATTTGACTAATATTAAAGTTCACTTTTCATTCAGGAAGTATGACGCTGCCCTGTCAGTGCGCTTGTCCATGTTTGTGATTGGTCGAATGCTCCAAATACCACCCCTTTCATGTGAACGCGCACCTAACTATATAGGACACGGCTGGCTTGAGCGATCCACTTGATAACCAGCGTCGTAGTACAGTTTAGCGCCAGCGCGTATGTTTTGGATTGGGCCAACCGGCTAACTCAAACATATCCAGGTTAGGAAAATCCGGCTTCGTAGTACAGGGGGGTATACTACGAATCTAGTTCAACATATCCTGGATATGTTTTGAGTTATCCGGTTGACTAAATCCAAAAAAAACGCTCTCGCTAAACGGTCCTACGACGCTGGCTATCAACTCGATCGCTCAAGCCAGCCGTGTCCTATCTAGTTAGGTGCGCGTTCACATAAAAGGGGTGGTATTTGGAGTGTTCGACGAATCACAAACATGGACAAGCCGTGTACTGACAGCGCAGCGCATCATATATTTCCTGAATGAAAAGTCAACTAATATTAGACAAATATGAAGATGTTAAACTTTAAACATCCATGACTTAAACACTTTATCCAGGATAAAAGCCACATAGCTGCAGCTGCAAGGTGAATACTGCTGGTAAAAGAAAAAGTGTTTGAATGCATACATTAACAGGTTTATGATATCACTGCCCCGTCCAAGACACGAGTGGATCTGACTTTAATTACATTTGACTCGAGTGTTTCGTCAACTTAATGTGTTGCTTAAAATAATACTTCTGCATACAGTAGGCTATGTGACACTGTGAGTGTTGCACGGCCAGATACGGCTCAAGAAGCTGACTCAGATAAGGAAATATATGATACATTATGATGTGATATGATATGAATGATAATGGGACACATCGCCGTCTGCACTCACAGTGCCGCGGACTGTAGGCTACGTAATGTTACTTTGATCCGGTTACTTATGTTGTGGCAGATATTTAAGTAAGCTTTCTTAACGCTAATGTTATAATAGTCAGATTGCTCTGAAGATGGGAGGTGATATTCTATTCATTTTCACGCTCACAGTCGGTGATTTTGGCCGGCTGTCTTTCCTGCAACGGCAGTTTAAACTGTATTTCCTTTCTCCTGTCATATGAATTGATCGCTTTAAACTCTGCACAATGAGCTCTGATTGGTCAGCAGGCAGTGCTTTTATCCTGGAACCTATCCTGCTCCGGAGGCTAGCCGTTCAGAATAAGTTATCTAGCCCGCTAAAAAGTGAACCAGCTTCGTAGGACCGGAAACCCCTGAAGTTAGCTTGCTAAACGGAAATCCTGATTCGTAGTATACCCCCCAGGCCTCAAATCTTTCTCAACAACACAACAGAGTCTCTGTCAAACACTGGTGAGTACAGCTGATCATATTTACACTGTCAACAAGCAGGATTAACACAAAACTTCAGCTCTACTCAGACGAAAACTCCACCCTTTACGTCCAACTTGTTTTTCTCTAACAACATAACCATATATATGATATAGAGTCCACTTTAAACAGTTTAAACAGTCTCTTTGTATCAGCTCTTAGTACTTTAGTAACTTGTAACTGAATCTCTGTGGTGAGGAGTTTTGATTCACTTCTGCTTTCCTGCTATTATTACTTTTTGCTGGTCACTTCCTGCATAATGCTTTTACCCATTCCCTCTAGCTCTTTCAAAATAAAATCTTTCCATTAGAGAAACAGTTAGAGTCTTTTAATGTGAAGCAGCTCGAGGAAATGAATTGTTATGGGCGCTGTACAATAGCTGCCCACTGCTCCTGGTACTAGACTCCTGGTACTAGGATGGGTTACATGCAGAGAACAAATGTCACTGTGTGTGCTCTGCATGTGTGACCATTGCAGAGGGTTTCATCCCTCCCAATTCTATTCTTCTACACAGTAAGCAGTGTTATTTTTCAATAAAAAGATTATCGACAAAACATGTATTTTCATTGCTGTTAGCCAGAGTTGCATGCTTGAACCTGTCAGTGTTAAATGGTCATGGTTGCTCATGGCTTGTTACAAGTTATCAAAGTTCTTTCTTTAAAACAATATATGATATGAATTGATGATTGATGTTTCAAATGATGTTTTCCTCATTACATGTATAGATATGGCTGCTGCAAGCTATCTGCCATCTGAAGATCAGTTTCTCTGCTCCATCTGTCTGGATTTGTTCACTGATCCAGTCACTATACCATGTGGACACAACTTCTGCAAAGACTGCATCACTGAACACTGGGATACAATTGACAGGTGCCAGTGTCCCATGTGTTAAGAGGCTTTTAATACAAGACCAGATTTGAGGGTTAACACTTTCATCTCTGAGATGGTCGCTCAGTTCAGACAGTCGGCTCAACAGAAAGCCAGCAGCAGCAGCAGCTTAGAGCAACAAGTCTTCAAACCAGGAGAAGTTCCCTGTGACGTCTGCACTGAAACCAAACTGAAGGCCCTGAAGTCCTGCCTGGTGTGTCTGACCTCCTACTGTGAGACTCACCTGGAGCCTCACCTGACAATGTCAGGCCTGAAAAGACATCAGCTGATCGACCCTGTGGAGAACCTGGAAGACAGGATGTGTCCGAAGCACGATAAACCTCTGGAGCTGTTCTGTAAGACCGACCAGACATTAGTGTGTCTGCTCTGCCATGTTTCAGACCACAAGATGCATGATGTGGTTCCTCTCAAAGAAGAATATGAAGGGCAGAAGGTTGAGCTGGGAAATAAAGAGGCTAGAATTGAGGAAATGATCCAGAAGAGACAACTGAAGATTGAGGAGATCAAACACACAGTGGACCTCAGTAAGGAAGAAGCAGACAGAGAGAAAGCAGAAGGGGTTCAGGTCTTCACTGCTCTGAAGGAGTCTGTTGAGAGAAACCTGAATGAGTTCATCCAAACAATAGAAGGGAAGCAGAACATGAGAATGAAACGGGCTGAAGACTTCATCAAAGAGCTGGAACAGGAAATCTCTCAGCTGAAGAAGATAAGCTCTGTGGCGGAGCATCTCTCACGGTCTGAAGACCACCTCCATGTTCTCCAGGGTGTCCAGT